TTGAGTCCCCAGAAAAATCTCAAGAGGTTGTGTCTGAAGGTAAATTTGTTAGTGATGAGGAAGATGATTCTGATAATACTGTTTGCAAGGAGATCATGGCTAAAAAGGTCAAACAATGGCCAGAGAAGGACAAGCTGTCTGCTAGCAAGTTGAGTGTGAAGTATGTTGTACTTCACAGGATTGGAACTTCCAATTGAGTTCCCACCAATCACACCTCTACCATTGTTACAAGTTTGGGTTGTTTGCAAGAACATATTTCCCAGACATTATTGTGATATCTTTTAAAGAAGCTGCCAGCTCAACTTCAAGGAAAGGAATCATTGTTGAGCTGAAGGATACCTGCAAAGATTTAGATAAGTGAAAAGTTTATTTGCTTTTGTATCTCTTTAATTTGTGGGATATGCTCTGTGTTTATTTCTTGTGTGCAATGTGTATGTTTCCACCTGTGTGTTTATTTTGTTTGGTTTTCATTTGTGTTTCCATTTGTTTCCATTGTGTACACTTACTCTTTTTTGTCAATGTTTTGGATAAAAAAGGGGAGTAAAGTGTTGGTTGTTTTGTGTGTCCTGATGTTACATCACATGTATTGACATGTTGATTTAGCATTGTGATAGGATTATGTGCTACTGCTTTTGGGAGAGTAGTTTTTTTGTGGTTGCTTATTGTATGCAACTATTTAGGGGAAGCATGATAGTTTTATGTTGTTGCTTTTGTGTGCTTCTGCTGCTACTGATGTAGTCAGTTGTGCAGGATGAGGATCTCTTAATAGATATTCCAACATCTTGTCTGGCGTGTGTGGAGAATCCTTTGGATTTCTCTTCTGTCTGTTTGTGTATCTTTTGTAACTATGATATATTATTTATGCAGTTTGGTGTGGTTTTATTCCTCTCTCCTAGACTTTTGTGCTAAGAGTGTTTTATCAAAAATTTACCAAAGGGGGAGATTGTTAATACCATAGTTTTAGAATTGGCATAAATTTCTAAAACATGGTTTGCATCATGATATTATAGAAGGTGTTCTAACATGCTAGTTAGATTCATTTGAAGGCAGATGTTCTGACATATGTTGTAACATCCTGTATTAGAACATCAGTATAGGCTATATTGTTTTTCTTGACATATTTAAATTGATTTTGTGAGATTCCTTTTGGTTTTATCTTGCTGATTTTTCGTAGGTCAAGAATATTCAATCTGGAACAATTGATTTATCTCCAACTGTACACAGGTTGCCAAAATTGGGCTTTGAGACAATTTAGGAAACTTTGATTTTTGTTCCAAGTTTAAGGAGATATTTCTACCCAAATTGGTGCAACTCTCAGCATGTGCAACAAGGAATATATGGGCGCATATTCAAGGTCCAAGGATTGCTTAAGAGTATTTAAAGAAACTACCTAGACCTAAATTCATTAAGAACTTTTTAAAAATAAGGAGAAGCCTCATTTTCTTAGTCTTAGGTTTTGAGGATTCTTCAAGGGGTTTCTGTTTTTCTTTGTATGTCCTCATGCATCTCTTGATGCATTTGAGTTGACTGATTATTACTTGATAGTTTATCAAGTTCTTGTCTCACTCTTGAAGCTTGTAAGAAATAGCGTTTGAGCTTTTCTAATTGAAGTGTGATCTTTAATTGTAGCTTCTAGTCATAGGAATTGTGGTTGTATTTTTCTATTCACTAGTTTGTGGTTGTAGATATTACTGCGGTGATTGGAAGTGAGATGGTGATTTGTCATATCTAAGAGGTGCCTCATTAGAAGTTGTATTGGGTAGTGATTAAGTGATAAGTTGTAAACTGGGACTATTTAGGCTTAGAATTAATACTACTAATAGTGAATTTCTTTCCTGGCTTGGTAGCCTCCATAGTAGGTGAGTTGCACTGAAGTGGGTTAACAATTCTTTGAGTTCTTTTAACTTCTGCATATTTTTCTTTTGGTAAAAATTTTGTCAGTCTGCAGATGTTGTAACATTTGCCGTGACATTGTGCTTGTGTATTGAGACATCGGTCTTGACATTTTTATTGCAGTTCCAGAATTTCAGTTGCAAATACAAGGATAGTGATCAGCCAATATGCGGTGATTGACAAGTTGAAGCCTTTTTAGATTTTGGAGAAACGAAAAGTGTAGAAGCATTGGGCGTCGAAGCCCGAACTGATGAAAATGTAATAAGATCAATTAGGAAAAGAGGTTTTCCTACAATACTCCAAGATTGCGAGATATTTCATGACAACAAAATCAATTATGATGGTGATTTCGCCCATTTTGCACTTATGGCCGAATCTGAGCCTGTTAAGACATAAGAGGCCTCAGAGTGATTCAAAGTGGATTTGTGCTATGAAAGAGAAGCTGAAATTGATTAAGAAAAGCAGTACTTGGGAGTTGGTTGATCTACTGAAAGGAAATAATCTGATTGAAGTAAGATGGGTTTATAAGGTGAAGGTAAATCCCAAAGGTGATATAATCATGCATAAGGCTTGATTAGTTGCAAAGGTATTTTTGCAAAGAGAAGGCGTGGACTTTAATGAGGTATTTGCACTGTTTGCTAGATTTGAAACCATAAGACTAGTTTTTGTAATTGTGAATAACAACAATTGGTCCATCTATCAAATGGATGTGAAATTCGCGTTTTTGAATCGTCTACTTGAATAAGAAGTGTATGTGGAACAGACCCCTAGTTTTGTTGTTAAAAATCAAGAAGGAAGGTTCTACAAGTTGAGAAAAGCGCTATATGGTTTGAAATAAGCTCTGAGAGCTTGGAACAAAAAGATAGACAATTTCTTAGTTGAGATTGGCTTCAAGAAATATGTATTTGAACATGGAGTTTATATGAAGACGGATACAAATGCAGGGATGATCATTTTTTGTTTATACGTAGATAATTTACTAATTACGGACAACAACGAGAAGAGTATTTCTAAGTTCAAGAGTGAACTTATTTGCTTGGAATAGGGTTTCACAAGTCCAAAAGGGGACTACTCATGCACCAAACAAGATATGCTCTTGAGATATTGAAGAAGTGGAAATGGAGCATTGTAATGCTGTCATTACATCAGTTGAACCAAGGTTGTGACTGTCAAAGAATGAAGAGGAGGAGAACATAGATTTAACTCAATATAGAAGGTTGATTGGATCATTATGTTACTTGTACAATACATGACTAAATTTGGCATTTAATATCAGTATTGTGAGTAGATTCATGGAGAGACTGACGGTGTCTTACTTGGCAACAGTCAAGAGAATCATGAGATACGTCAAAGGATCTATTGGCTGCCGAATTCTCTTTCTCGTAGCGGATACAGGAAAAAAAATACAATTTTCTCGATTTTACCGATTCCAATTGGTGTAGAGATAAAGATGATCAAAAGTCTACAATTAGATACATCTTTATGTTTAGTGGAACACCAATCTCATGATGTTCGAAGAAGGAACTGGTAGTTCTACTCTCGTCTTGTGAGTTCGAGTATATTGTCTCCTTGTTATGTGCGTGCTAAATTGTGTGACTAATGAATCTATTAAAGGAGCTAGGCAGCAGTGGGGGTGAGGTTGTTACACTCTTGGTTGACAATTTTTCCACTATTAATCTTAATAAGAAATCAATTGCACATAGGAGAAGCAAGCACATTGAGATGAGGTTTTACTACTTGAGGGAGCTTGTTAGTGAAGGAAAGTTAAGGTTAAGATACTATAGAAGTGAAGACCAAGTTGTTGATTTGTTTACTAAGGGAGTCACAAATGATGTGTTCAAAAGGTTGAAGATGAGCATGGGCAGGGAAGACTTGGAGAACTTGAATTAAGGTGGTGTGTTAAAAGTTGTTGGTAATTAAAGTTGGTGTAACCGGATAACACAGGGGTGTAATCGATTACAAACATCAAAATGGGTCAAATAAGCTGCATAAAAGTGCTCTTGAAGTTGGTGTAACCGGTTACGAAAATGCAGTAACCGGTTACAACTGATAGTTATTTATATTTTTGTAACAGTTGTAACCGGTTACAGGTTTGTGTTAAGTGATTATAGCCCCTAGTTTTTTACTTTTCTGATTTTTGACTTGATGCTTTTGTATCCCAACACTTGTATATATATATATACCATGATGGTATGTTTGTAAAGATAGAATGAATGTATAACAATAATTTTCACCCTCAATTATCTCTCTCTCTCTAACTATTTTCTCTCACACTATTTCTTTCTCCACATACTCAAACCTTCTATTGTTTATCAATCTTGTGATTGAATGTTATAACAATGACACTGATACGGTGGTACAGAGAAGATCTGTAAGATTAGTACTTCAACATCCAAGTCAATTCAAAATAAGTGTAATAAAAATAGAAATCAAAATATTGTACTTTCAATATCGTGTGTGTTGGCATTTATATATTAGATTATTTTAAATGGGTTGATATTTCAATATCGTGTGTGTTGGCATTTATATATTGGATTGTTTTGAATGGATTGATATTAGATTTGGTCATGGATCTTTAGACCTTTTGTCGGCCTCAATCAGTTATCGATGCAATTTTACTCTCTAATTAATATTATATAATCTACTATTCTCTCACTTTACTTTAATGGTAATTAGAATACACCAATAACAACATAATTGATAAAGATAAATTAGTAAAATTGCTCCTAGTCCTACTACAACTTGTTCCCATTTTTGGTGTTTCCTTTCGATTAGTCCTTTTATTTTATTCTGTATTTAAATTTTTTTTTTAAATGGATGAAATGAACTTCATAATTCATATAGAAATCAATTTTGAATGAGTTAATTCAAAACATCAAACTTCACGTCACACAGCACAAACTTCATATATACAATGAGACAACACCCGTTCATTCGGTAAACAAATCTTCCTAACCTTACATATATGTTTTGGTTCAAAATTGTGTTATATAATTGTGTACAAGAACAAAATAGATCATCTGTTTCGGCTTCAGGGTGCATGCGGTTGTAGAAGATCAGGTCCAACAACTAGGAATGAAACCTTATCAGGCCCAGAGGTTGGAAGCTCAGTAAAGCTTTATTCTGGTTTCGATTGTACTCCGACAAATAGGGCAGAGTTCAAGGCTTTCTCCACATTCGCAACAAGTCTGTTCCATGCGAGGAAACAAAAGTGCAACGAACGGTTAATACTATATATTATTTTCAGACAGTCTTAGAATAAATTCGAGAAGAATCAGCAGCACATAATTTAATCGGTTACCTGATGCCCGCAGCCGAAGGCCATATCCTTCGCATTAGTAAGACAAATCGGGCAAACCTGCATTTAAGGATATGTGAAACATTTTTGAAAGTAAGTGACAAAAAAATGATAGTGGTGTTTTAGTTGGAAAGAATGGTCCTAAATGTTAATACCTTATTGTCATATAAACCAGACGAAGACGGTTCTGTGTTCATTTCATTGTTGTTGCTCGCATTCGAATGAGTACTCTGCTGAAAACTGTTTGAACGGATATATGCTGCGCCCTGCTGAAAACTGTTTGAACGGATATATGCTGCGCTGTTACTAGAAGAAGCTCTATCATATTGAGGTGGAGGTAATGGAACCCTGTCTGGTGAATGTCCCCTTCGTGTCCTACATTCATCGATGATGACATGTTGTAAATTTAGTTATTATCTGAGTAAAACATGTACAATAGGCCGCAAGTGTAATATTATTTTTCGATATAACTATTCAACAATTTACCCCAATAGGTTGTGATCTATGGTTGCCTTATATTGAGATGGTATCTCCATCAAAGCAGCTAGAGCAAACTCCGTCTCTTTTCGGTTTGAATCCACATTCTTTGACATTATTTCAGTAAAATTCACAAACTACACACAATCAAAATAAAAAATATTCACATTTCTGCATAATAGTAAGATTTAAATGTGGAAAGCTAATAAATATATGGCCATGTGAAACCTGAAAGTTGTCGAAGGCTCGAGCTGGAATGTTATCATCAAACTCCCTCATCATATCCCACGGGCCATCTCCAACTCCAACCAAAACTATCGATAGTGGATACTCGCTGCAATTTAACGAGTATAAGAATACAAGATAGTTGATAGCATATATAAACTTAAGAACATATAACCAAGTGGTTGAGCTCAAGTGATTAACCAACTTCACTTATGGACCAATCGTTCGGGAGAACCAAAGTCAAATCCTGACTGGAACAATCATTGGCCTAACTTTGAATTATCAGGATCTTTTTCTTCTAGGAAGTAGGGGAAATACAACAAAACATACCTAGCTTTTACTATTGCGTCAATTGTCTTCTTTTCCTGTGAACTTAGCTTGCCATTCTCTGTGTCAACGCTTCTAGTCACCTATCGCGAAATTCAGGTATCAATTTTTCAATATCTTGCATAGGGAAGGAAAAAGGAATGTCTACATTTGAATGGAACGAAATGTGCAATAAAGATACCTGTCCATCAGCAATTATAAGCAAGACATGATATTGGCCACCACTTTTCTCAACAATAGTCATGGCCATTTCAATAATAGGGGAAAATGAGGTTGGTCCTGTAACATAAATTCGATGAGTTACTCCGAGCCTAATTAAAAAATGATAATGATGTTATCGACAAAGGAAACACCTGCGAGTCGGAGGCATGGAACAATCTCTCTATATCTTGACAAAACTTCCTCAAATCCATTGCAGAACCTCTCATCCGAATGGAAACTGAAGACGTCTTGATCATGTGTTGATGCTAGCATGAGACAAAAGAAAAAACACAATCAAGTTCTTCTATTTTAGAAACAAGAACAAGTGGAAAACCACGAAGATTTTTAGTTACCATCTCCAAATCCAAAACACGGAATCATGTTATCCTCGTCAAAAGAGGTTAATGTTTTCCCAATAATCGCAATTGCTTGCTCATAAGGATTTTGACCATTTCCAATGTGATGTAAACTCTTTCGATTGAATGACCTCTTCCCTGATCTCCAAACGAAATTTACATATATATTATGTAACACAACATAACTCACTATAATAAATTCAATCATCAATCATCAAGATGTTAGTAAGAGATAAAAACCTGTCCACTCATTGCTCTTTGTGAAATCAATGCCAACAATTAGATTCGACGATTCCAAGCCAGCATGTGAAAGAGCAGCAGTAACCTGTGTAATCATTTCATTACTTGACACACACAAAAAAGACTACTGATTGATCAAAAATATGTATAAGGCTACTAGTATAAATTTTCAAATAGAATCAATTTAATTTTAGAGAGCAGAATCAATTCTACTCGAGAGCATCCAGACAAGTCAAAATCAATTCTACACATCCAGAATCAATTCTACTCGAGAGCATCCAGAATCAATTCTACTCGAGAGCATCCAGACAAGTCAAAATCAATTCTACACATCCAGAATCAATTCTACTCGAGAGCATCCAGAATTAATTCTACACATCCAGAATCAATTCTACTCGAGAGCATCCAGAATCAAACCAAACCAAACACAAACTTAAACATCAATCAATTACCTCATCCAGAGAATGATAATCATCAGCAATCCTTGAATATCTCCTATCCAACTTCCTATTAGGTCGAGAATAATCATGCAAGTTAGTCTGTGTATTACGCTGGTAATTAGGTCTTTGATATGGTTTATGTTGCGGTTGTGGATATGGATATGATGATTGTGGATATCCATAGTTATGAATATCCGAAGAAGATGAAGAACCAACAGACCCATATGATGAAGATGAAGATGGTGAAGTTACATGTCTCTTATGAGAGCCTTTTGAACTACTTCCTCCCATTACTGTCTCCTTGAGAATCAATCCAAGAAAACACAAAATGATAACCAAAGCAGTAAAAGCATCCAGCTGCAAAGAATTTCAAAACAAAGCCATCAATATAGAAATACATAAATGCTCGTAAATTGAGTTAACAAAATTGAAAACGAAATATCGAGGTTTAAAGACCGAGAAAAATATAGTTTCTATATGTATAGGTATACCTCTAGATGCATTGTTTGTTTCTACAAGAAGGAATTGTGTGAGAGAATTGAGAAGACGGTGGGTGTGTGTGTCACGGTAATGACGAAAATGGATTGAGTTTTATTTGTTGAACAAAGCGTAATGAATTTATGGAAGAACAAGACAATGAATTACGAGGAATGTGAGTGTTGGAAGGAAACCAGCTATGTCTACAGTCAACCACTGTTGTTTTTATCTTTTAGGTTCTATTGACAAGTGTACTATACTCTACAGTGTATATTGTTTTTTTTTATTTATGAAAATTAAAATCTTTTAGGTTCAATTACATAGTAATTGAAATGGAAGAAACAAGTGTATTTGTTATGAAGTTGCGTGGTATCTGTGATAAGAAATGTCAACTTTGGTATCTGTGTCTGAAACTTCCTAGAAGAAACACCATGAAATTCCATCAATCTATTTATATTTTACTATTAAAATTTGAGGAAAATTAAATCTACGAGTATAAGTCTTTCAATTTGACAATATGTAACAAGAAGAATATCATATGAGTCTTGTTAAAATGTAATTTTATTAAGTTTGTTACTAGGGAGGTTCAAATTAAATGGTTTCATGGTTTATTCATAATCATATTCGGATTCAGTTATCATAAATTGGTTAATTTTATTTTGGGTTTTCAACCAATCCATTTTAAAATTCATTTTATAACCAGTTGATTAGATAACCACAACCAAATAAAATATCCAATATGATTCAGAATCCAAAAACCTAATCACGATTCATGATTCTCTCTTCTCCCTTCTCTGAATTGAAAACCCAAACCCTTAAACATGATTCTCTCTTCTCCATTCTCGATCGATTCAGATTCCATCAATGTCGTTTTTGTGCTCTTCCATTCTCAATTTGTGGAAGGAATGAAGAAATTAACCCAAGTAAATTCATTCTCTATTTGAGGAAGGAATGAAGAAATCAACCCAGATAAAGTCATTCTCAATTTGAGGAAGGAATGAAGAAATCAACGCAATCGCCTAACCGCTAGATCTTTGGAAGCACTTATTTGCACAAAAGATTGGCTTGGTGGATCACCTTCACCATTGCATATGCAAGATGATATCGAAGAGCTTAAGAAAATTGAGCGAGGTAATTGTTATACCCTAAATTTTTCCCCTAAGATCCTCTATCATTTCATATCGTCTCAATGCATCAAGATCACACATTTGGGTTGGTTCTCCCTTTCTACTCTCTCATATTTTTAAGTTTTCTCTAGAGGGATCACCAAGCACCTTGAATTGTGTATCTTGTATATATTTTATGTTCACTAACCTTAAACCAAAATCCAAAAAGATGTATATTTCCTCTTTATACTTTGTACATTGTAGGTGTGGAGCCAAATGCATCTCTCTTACCTCCTAAGCTAGAGTTTTGAAGATTAATCCTCAGTCAATTAGAAAATCAATGAATTTCAAAAGCTTAAGCTTCAAAGCTATGATTATGGCATCAAATTTCTTTGATTCAAATACTCACTTAACTTCATTTGGTTTAGTTTGTCTCAAAGTTAATGGTTGAACTCATCAAGAAATTTCATAGGTTCTTGTGTTTATTTTCATGCCTTTTTTAACATGTTTCATCAAGAAATGAGCGTTCTCATCAATTGTGCTTCAATATAACATCATTTCAAGTTATAATGTGATTCACCATGCCTTAATTTGCAAGGAAAACTCAAAAGATTCAAAGTTGATTCAAGATTGTTGACCTAATTTGGGCCAGTCCTTGATCCTTTAGTCACAAGGGCATAACTCCCTCAATTTTCAATATTTATTTTTGAAATGGACTCCTCTCACCATTTACAACAACTTCTATTCACATGACAAGATCCAATTGTGAAAGGAGGATCATCAAAAGTTTGAAAAGATTACAAGTCCTTTGAGAAGACCATGAAAGTCTTTGACTTGACTTTAAAAGATGATAATTTGGTCAATTTTTATTTCCTTGAGCCCAGTATTTTTTCATAATAAACTTTAGGATGTCTAATATAAGTTTGATTCAAAAATCAAGACCTAAAAGTGTGTGGAAAATTATGGAATTGATGGAAACATTATAGGTGATTTGTGGATTTCTCAAGAAATTTCCATCAACTTCCAAGAATTACAACTCTCTCATTTTTTTATGATTTTTGAGTGATTCCAATTCCATAATTCCATTTAAAGAGTCTACTTCATTTTATATTCAAGGATCAAGAGCTAATTTTGAGTGGAAGGGCTTGTAAGTTTGCAAAATATTATAGGTCATTATGAAACTCTACACTTAAAAAAATTTCTAAGTGTCAAAATCAGTTTGTGTTTCCTGATTTCAAATGGACACAACTTCCAGCTTGAATGTCCAAATAAATACTTACTTGGCACATTATAAAGATTGTGATGAGGTCTTTCAAATGTAACAATAATGATGCTATAAAGCCTCTTGAGCAAGTTGACCCATGGATTTAAAGATGGCACTTTGAAATTGAGTTTTCACTTACAGTCAGAAGTGAATTTGATTATTGTGCTTGCTAATGACCAAATTGATGTCCACTTTCCACTTAAACATGATTAACAAAGTTGCTAAGACTTTTTTAATCATTGAATCACAAATTTTGAGTGAGTTTTAATGCACATGGAGTCACAATTCTCATTCCTTCGAACTTCACACGAATTCTCTCAAATCTTCATCATTTCGCACGTATGAGCTCACCATTCATTCTCCTATAAATAGAGGATCATTCCTCATTCATTTCTTCAAGCTTGGATAGCTAGAATCACCCTGCCAAAGTCAGTTTTGAAGCTTGAAATTTGAAAATCCATGTCATTATTTCAAGCCTTCTTTCTCTAAACTCTCTTTTGATTCATCATTCTTGATCATCGCACAAACTTTTCACAACAAAAACCAAGCCATTCGTGCATAGAGTCAAACTACAAAAGTTCAGTTTCAGAGCGTACAAGTTAAACTCTGTTCAGGTAGATTTCTCAACCAAATCAACTCAAATAATTTGTTAGGATGTAGTATGTAACGCTCCGATTTTTATTAAGTGTCGTATTTATTTTATTATTTCAAAAATCTTTGATTAATAATGATTTCGTGGAAATATTATATTTTGACCGGTATATCAATTAATATATTCGGTGATAATTAATCGGATCGATATTTATTTATTCGGGATTAATTGATTATGTAGTGTATTTGTTATATTATTTGAGAATAATAATAATATTTGTTGGATTATAATAGTAATTAATTAATATAAGTAATATATATATATATATATATATATATATATATATATATATATATATATATATATATATATATATATATATATATATATATATATATATATATATATATATATATATATATATATATATATATATATATATATATATATATATATATATATATATATATATATATATATTAGAAGAAGTAAGAGAAAGACATAAGTTATATAATAAGTATAATATATAATAATATGAAATAAGTAGATTAAGTGGGGGGATAGTTGTGTTGTTGTTGTTTTAGTTATCAAAAAAGAAAAACAGAAAGAAAGAAATAGAGAGAAAGGGAGAAAAGGGTTTGGAGGAAAGAAGAGGAAAAAGGGCTAGATCAAGAACAAGTTAGGTTTTGTGGATTCAAGAGGAAACAACAAGAACATCAAGAGGTAAGGGGTCTGATAATTTCTATCTTATAAATAGATTAATGATAGGTTTTATATGAGTTAGGGTTGTGAAGATTTGGGGGTTGTTCTTGAAATTTCTTGATTTTTTTTTATGGTTAGATTATGTTGTTGAAATAGAAAGTTGTTTTGGAGAAGTAGCACTATAAACAATACACTTAGATATTATAACTAGCATGAGATTAAATATTGCTTGGCATTAAATAAATAAAGTAGTATAAGTGGTAATGAAGTAATATTTTGGTACTGCATAATAACAATGACAGAATAAAATGTTTGCCTTGTTTATAACAGTAGCAGAACAAAAGTAGAAACAGAGACAATGTCGTACAGGAACTTTTAGTAAATGATAAAATTGGTAGATATGATTAATTAGCAGCAAAGTATTATTAGTAATAAGATGCTGAAAGTTGAAAACAGTCCCGTTTGGTCGAATTAGCCGAATTAGGTGGTATAATTAGTTGTCCGGAATTTAACGAAATTTGACAGGGTAACTAAGTTTAATTAGTAGGTAAATATGGTTATGTCGTTTTGTTGAAATTATGTCAATTACACCGACTTGCCGGTACAGCTGGGTAATTTGTTTTGTTCGGTTTATGGACATTGTTGATTATAGGTCTTATGACCAATGTTGTGTTATTTTTGTGTTGTTGTTGCGAGATATCATTGAGTATATATATATATATATATATATATAGGGGCCATATCTCATGAGAAAGTCTTTCTTATGTGAGAGTGAGAGGGTTTCTTTTTAGCCTTTAGATTACATTGGATGGTTGAGATTCATTGATGAAGTTATTTTTTTTCTTCTAAATCTTACTTCTCTCTCCTCATTTATTACGTTAACTTTTTTTTACTCTTTCTTCTCTCTCCTAATCTTAGTCATAAATTTTGATCCAATGACTTATAATTACTCCTCTCACTCTCATATAAGGGACCCCTTTCTCACTTGATATGTCCCCTATATATATATATATATATATATATATATATATATATATATATATATATATATATATATATATATATATATATATATATATATATATATATATATATATATATATATATATATATTGATTACACTATTGATAATGTAATATTAAGATATAAT